TTTATTTAAAAGATCAGGTAAGAGTATTCGGGATTTAATTATTATAAAGTTTTATTTTTATTTTTATAATCTAATTCTAAGCTTTATAGAGACGAGTGAGGTATGAAAATTTATAACGATCCATTTCGGTAAGATGCTTTACGAATCTCTTCTACCGTAGATATGCGTATTCAAAACCTTCCCGTTATTTCAGTATTTGCATCAAGAATAGTTGATTTGGATGTTTCACATATTGATGTTTTAAAAACGGTTGGTATATTCATCTAACTATTTAATGTTATAAGTCAGTCGTTAAGTAAATTGAGAATAATAGCTGATAATAATTTTATATTACGGTTAATTTTCTAGATGTTGAAAGAACTGCTTCGTGATTTATAAGATCTGGACATGGAGACGAAGGTACGAAATACTTTTGATATTTTTCTATAACATATTTAAGTTGCTTGCTTATATTTTATGTGGATCAAAAATATTCAAAACGATTATGATGTTTAATGTGGTTACAATCAATGAACATACATGTCATTAACTTGCAACAATACCAGTTGTATTAAAACTTCGTTATTTATTTTTCTCTTAGTAAGCATTATTTCTCTTGTGATTTGGAGATCAACGCGTATCCGAAGCTTTATTCAGGCATTCATCATGGTACTGTCACAGGATGACATTTCTGAAGATCCGACTCGGCATAAGGTTTAGATGATGTAAAAGGGTTGGAATACATATGAAGTTGATCGGCTGAAGATTAACAATGATGAGCCATCAAAAATAAGGGTGAGTCATGTTTAAGCTTCTATAGTCCTTTTAAAGTTATTTAAAGGACGTAACTTGGGTAAGGTTGGTTACGACACTTATGTGCGAGGTAGGGGCACATAAGACCACTAACTCGATGATAAATCCCTCTCTCAAGAATATTCCAGATAATACGCTAATCACCAACACCACGCCTCTGGTGAGTTGCTTTAATTTACTTCCCTGATGTTTCCCTGATGTTAGTTCAATTTGCGGGAAAGGTCCGTAACAGTAGCCGAAAATAATTGTATTACGGTTATGCGGGTGAGAATCAAAATATAGTTCGCTGAAAAATTAAATGATGCAGTTGATGTATACGGTTCCAGTTAAAAAGGGAATAAATGGGTTCATATAGTTATTAGAATTGTTTTTTATAATTGTTTTTACGACAATTGTTTATTTAGATTTAGTCATTCGTAATCTTAGGTAAATGTGCTTTTCAATTTTGAATTTCATCAAGATAAATATGTTTCGTTAGGATTATGGTTTAAAACATAATTGGCTTGCATCTAATTTAGAACATAAATAAAAATGAAATAATTTAATTCTGAAACAACCTATTTTCTGGTTTAAAATTCTGAATCAAAAAATTAATTAGGCATACCCGATGATAATAATTAGCAAAAATAGGACTTATAAATCACTTGAAATAAATACGTCATTTAATTTATCCAAAATCATATGCCGAATCGTTAATTTTGAAATCCCCATTTAGTGATGGGACCTCCTGAATTATTAATAATAATTAATAATGATTAATTGATTGATCGAATTATTAGCTAATAACGACTTAATAATATATAGCGCAGCTAATTAGTACAAGATGTATAAAAAACGAAAGTCGCGTCAATATTTTCTCAAAAAATTGCTGAGATATTGGCGGACTAAACATTTATTAAATCTGTCGGTAATTCATCATATCAATATTATTAACGTGATCGAAGTTATTAACTATTAGTAATATTAATAACGCGTTATTAATTTTTTTATTATTAACTAAAAACTCAGAGGTCCCATCACTATCCCCATTATTAAAACTTTCTTTTATGTTGATTACTATATCGATATCATTCTATCACTATTACAGTATACTCTATTACTTTTAATTTATTCAAAATAAAAAAAATGCTTAACAGATTTATATTTTATTTAGTATAAAAAAATGGATTAATGGTAAATCACGTGATCGAAAGGCGAGGGTGAACGCCGCAGAGCTACCGATCAAAGCCGGGGCCACAACTCGGAAACTGATTAAAGGCAAAAGATCATATGCAGATGGTGCAATGACATATGCCTTTTGACGCCCAAGCAACGCATAGCCTCACGGCCATATGAAAGAAGAAAAGACAATAACGCATAAATAGCGGGGACCAAAGATACTGGAAACCAGGTCCCGAAAAATCCGACCCAAACACTTTCTCGACCCACCCAACCCACCAAACCCACCCACCCAATGGACGACCACGTGATCCTACCATTCCTCCGCTCGCATTCCTCGTGTGCTCTCTGTTCGCAGCCGGCTTGCGTCAGCAAAGCGGGAAACCACCGGCTCAGTACTCCTGCGGCGACACCCAGCGCAATGATTATTGCAAATTTCTCGGGTTGTCCTTGCCGTCTCTGGCCGTACCGGCCTATAACTTATACCATGTACCACACTGACGTTTAACAGATTCAATAAAGTCATTTCCGGCATAAATAGTACATGCCGGCATCGTCCAAATAAATCCAGTATAAAATGTGTGACACGATGCTTTTCGTTGTAGTTTATGACATGTTAACAAACTTGATAAACTAGCTATTTAAACTGTTTTTGATTCTGAAGATAACAGTTTAAGTCACGAACTAAGTTCGGGTTATTATAAGCTTATTGAAAGTTATTAAGGTTAAACTCTCTTAATTAAAAATCCTTCATGTATATATAATACAACTTTTACAAGAACTCCATTTTTTTTGTCCCAAAAAATATGACAATATGTGACTATAAAGTATATATAAGGTTTATTATGACAGAGAATCCGTCAATTTAAAAGTATAAGCTACCAAAATCCATATAAACTCTTTTAACTTAAGCATAAATCTATATCCTAGTCCAAAAAAAAGCTGTCAAAAAAATGTATATACATACTCCAAAAATTTTAAGAATCGCATGCTAAATAGGTTTTAACTTCAACATCATTCGATCTCGACAATAGATGAAAAGACATCCAAACAAATAGTATAAACCCACAAATTAATGTTCATCCACGTTTTTGATTCATTCATTTTTATATTTAGAACTTTCTTGTGAATTTCTATTTTTAAGAGACCATCTTTTGAAATTAAACCTAATAATCTTACAGATACTATACCCAAATCCACCAATCAATGCTAGACTAATAATCACAGCAGCACCAAAAACGTCTAAATATTTTCCTCTAATGAGGCCCATTCTTGAATCAGGAGTGATCCATTGCCTTAATAATAATTCATTGTCTACTTCTAATTCATTATTTTCATTCCTAATGCCTACGAGCTTTGCCAGATTCATCACCATCTCAATTAAATCAACACCTCTATACTTTCTTTTACTATTAAATTTTGCCAATACTTGCATTCTCTCTGCATTTATTTTAAAACTTTTCTCATTCATTAATCTTATAACTTTTAATATTATATCATCAACATTTAAATCAAGTTTTGAAAGTCGTAAAGCCATACCAGAAAGTTCTAATTTATCGGCATTTTCAGGTTGATCAAACGCTATTGGAAGTACTAATATTGGTGTAGCTGTGTATATAGATTGAAAACTGCTACTCGCGCCACCATGACTTAAAAATACTTTAGTATTCTCGTGAGAAAGTATTGCAAACTGAGGGGCATACTTTGTAATATGAATATGTGGATGTAAATTATTTAAAAGATTTGAAGTGGGTATGACATCACCAGTAGAAAGTGTAAATGTAGGAGGTAGTTCCGATTCATTAAATCTTACAGTTGCCCAGATCACACCATCAAGAATATTCTGTTTTATCAATTCAAGGGCAGCCTGTAAAAGAATAGCATAATTTTCAGGAGTAGTGTATACAAAAGTTCCAAGAGCAATATACATAGTTCTAGGATGTGTGGAAAGAAATAATTCCAAATCGGGAGATAGGTTTGGATAAGTATCAGGTAAAATAGGTCCGATTTCTTGATGAATCAGAGGCCAAGCGGATGGGTACTACAATGAAAACAATAAAATAAATTAATAATGACTTTTATCAAAATAAATTAAAAAAAAATTCACCTCAAATCCGAAGAAACTATTAACTAAAAATAAATTATTATTTATTCTTCCTTTGAAATCATTATGTTTACTAACACCGACTTCAGCCCTTTTAGAATTTAAATAATTTAAATTTTTTTGAAAATACCAACTAAGTCGAAATGGTCGCAATGGCTGTACTACTGCACATCTAAATCTATTGTAGAATGACTCGTTTTCCATGTTCACATGACAATCTATCGTAGGATCCGAGATAAAGGGAGACGGGGTAAATGCTATAATAAAGTAGAAAAATAAGAAAATGGGCGACGGATAAAATGAGTAACTAGTATTTATATCTTCCTAACCTGTAAAAAGTAAATAATACGTACAAACTGTATGTGTAGCAAATCCAACGACGGGCTTTTTTAATTTCCACGCTAGATCAAAACATGCATCATTTGCCACGTAGTCGCAAATAAATAAGTCAGCCTTAGTTTCTTTAGAAGCTTTCAAATACTTATTAAAAGTCTCGATATAACGGTTAAGAGAATCTATTCTTCCGTCTGCCAAGCCTTTAAAAGTATATTTATTAAAAAATATTTCCCTAAACATTGGTTTGTAAGTGTTCAAAGGCTCTCCAATAATTATTTGCGGAATTGAATTGTATAAGGTAGATTTAGCCGTAAAATTTCCAGGTGCCGCTAATGTTATCTTTTGAAAGAATATAAGTGGATCAAATTTGAGAAAAGATAGTAAAGATATTTGTCAATATATATATATATATATTGATAGTTTAGTTTACTTTATACCCGCGATCCTCCAAAATCTTGCAAATTTCCAAAATTGGATTGAGATGACTTTCTCCTTTAAATTATCGTATCGATAAAGATAAAAAAAAATAAACAATAGTAAATAAATATGAGAAATAAATAAATAAATAAATTCATAAGCGCGCATATATATTTAATGTTCGAGGAAAGCTCACCGCCAACTACAGACCCAACAAGTATATTGTTTGGTTTATCACTTCTATCTAAATCCAGTTTTCTTTGAATAAATCCATTGTTTTTCCCTTCTGCATTTATTTTAATAATGAGATCCGCGTTTATAAAAAGAATAACGAATATAACAAAGCACCAAAGTTTAAAATTCATTATTATTATCGTTGGATTAATACGTTAAAACTGGATAAGAGGAATCTTAATAATGCGTGATTATGCGCGATTACGTTATAGCCTAAATTAGTACTTAGGGATGTGAATCAGGGCTAAAACGACATATAGTAAATGCCGGACATTTACTGCGCCATAGCCCATTGTTTAAAGTATCTTTCTTGATA